CATTAACAAATGGGTGATCATTGTAGTAATGGCCTGCATTACCAACCAGGCCGCTGGGTCACCTCGTTTGCCGTATTTAAGTTAGCAAGGGGTCTGTGGACTGTCCACGTTGAAGTTGGAAAAGGGGGTCTTTGGATTTTGGAATTTTCCATGTTGAAGTTGGAAAGGGGTCTATCGATTTCCATATGCTAACCTTTTGAACAGGGGTCTGTGGATTTTGGAATTTTTCATGTTGAAGTTGGAAAGGGGTCTGTGGATTTTTCATGTTGAAGTTGGAAAGGGGTTCTGTGGATTTTTCATGTTGAAGTTGGAAAGGGGGTCTGTGGATATTTCCAAGTTCATATTTCCAAGTTCCTCTTTTCAACAGGGGTCTGTGGATTTCCTATGTATAAGTTGGAAAGGGGTCTGTGACCGTGGATATTTTCAAATGCCACCTGTCGAACAGGGGTCTATGGATTTTCCAATATTGAAGTTGAAAAGGGGTCAGGACTCAGGGGTCTGTAGATTTCCGGTTATTTCCAAATGCCTGCAACAGGTGAACTAGCAAGGACACGGGGAATTTTTGTTTTTTGTTTTTCTAAAGAAAAAAAAAGAAGGTGACACTTGGAATTCCTGCTGAAGGACATGGAACTAACTGGACTGCAAATTTTTCAATAGGCTTGGCAAAAGGGTAGACTACAAGGGTGTGGGTGATTTAGGTTAGAATGGTCTTCTTCACCTGAATAGAACGCCTGGTCATTACTGCTGTATCTAGACTCAAAGTTGCCGCAGATACAGCTATAGTGACGGGCCGGTCGAAGTTGGGTGAAGATGGTGGTGGGGGACTCTGCAAGACTGTCGAGGGTCCAGCCTCCTGATGAGTCGGTGAGAGTCCGACGAAACAGTCAGTTACATGTGCCTCGTCCTCTTCCCTTTCCTTCCTCCCTTTCTCTATACTTGATATATTTATGTAGCCTCCTGATGAGTCGGTGAAACTCTGACGAAACAGTTTGTCACAGCCCCTTGTTTGTTGTCCTCTTCTGCCTCTCTGCCTACGGTTTACAGTCCAGCTCTGTTTGACGATATATATGTACACGTTTTTGCGGACTGCATGTACGGAGTGTGGTTTTTGGCAGTGATAGAGCTATCTTTTTGCTTTGCTCGGTTCTCACTGCTGAACATGTGCCACAGTGACACTTTGTGTCTGGTTTCAGTTGGTGACAGTCTGGTTCGGTTTGGGCCCTCAAAGGGGTGGGGGGGTAGGGGGTGGTTTGCACTTTTTGCTGATTGCTTATGTTATTTTATCATAATAACAAGCAGGCCACCGGGAAGCAGCGTGCACAGACGTACATGGTCTGCGCATGCACAGTCACAGATTCCCAATGCAGATGCTGGCCGGTAATGCGAAAGTGCAAGTGACGGTCCGCCTTGCAGCTTATTTCCGTGTGGGTTTGCGCCTCAATGATTTTTCCATTCCCTCCAATGCTATTCAAAATTCAAATGCTATCTGAATGCTATCCCAATGCTACCTGAAAGCTATCTGAATGCTATCTGAATGCTATCCTTGCCACTGGATGATTGTTCCATTCCCTTCAATGCTATCTGAATGCTATCTTTGCCCATGGATGATTTTCCATTCCCTTCTGAATGCTATCCGAATGCAATCTGAATGCTATCCGAATGCAATCCGAATGCAACCCGAATGCTATCCGGATGCTATCGGAATGCTATTTGCTATCTGAATGCTATCCTTGCCCCTGGATGATTGTTCCGTTTCCTTCAATGCTATCGGAGTGCTATCCTTGCCCATGGATGATTGCTCCGTTCCCTCCCATGTTGTCTGAATGCTATCCGAATGCTATCTAAATGCTATCCTTGCCCTTGGATGATTGTTCCGTTCCCTCCAATGCTATCTGAATGCTATAGGAATGCTATCTGAATGCTATAGGAATGCTATCTGAATGCTATAGGAATGCTATCTGAAATCTATAGGAATGCTATCTGAATGCTATAGGAATGCTATCTGAATGCTATAGGAATGCTATTTGAATGCTATAGGAATGCTATCTGAATGCTATCTGAATGCTATCTGAATGCTATCTGAATGCTTGCAGTTGTGACGACACCTGTATGAGTATTTGTGTTATGCGTGTCGACTATCGGTGTGATGATTTTTCATTGACAGGTGGATAAGGCAAGGGAAGGAATGGACACACTGACCACCTCCAAAGCCACCATCACTGAGCTTCGGGACAGCTTTATTCTCATTGATAGGTGAGTAGGACAGCTTTATTCTTCTGTGTACGATTCCGCTCATTGGTAGTTGCTATAGTACTTGTGATGAGGGGTTTTGTATTTTGTGCATGAGGGATGAGGGAGGATCAATCTTTTCCTGCTTGATGTCTGTGAATATACACCCTGGGTTGTGCTCTTTTTTTTAATTATTTTTTAATTATTTTTTTTTAATTAACCAACACAGAGGGCCCCATCTATTCTGGGGGGCGGCAGTCTGGTTGCTTATCACCGGTGATAAGGAACCCGACTGCCGCCCCCCAGAATGGTTGTGCTCTTTTTTTTTTTTTTTTTTTTTTTTTTTTTTTTTTTTTTTTTTTTTTTTTTTTTTGAACCACTAGTACCTCCGCCAGTGTTGGGAAATTACGATGTTTTGCCAGTTCCCGAAGTTATCGGGTGTGGGACACGGTCGGCACTGTCCCATAAATCAGATTTTTATATTGCCCGCGAGTGAAAGAAAAAGGTAAAAAAGGAAGTAACTATCTCTACTGCAATGATGTCGGTCAGGGTAGTCTTGGAGGCCGTGCTCAGAGTCTTCCTCCACAGAATGCACCTCACCAGTAAGGTGGTCACATTCTGGATGTTACTGTTTTCTTTTTTTTCTTGCTCGTGTGTTTCTTACAAGTCCCCTGCCAATGAGGCAGGGGGAAATCCGTGAATTGCTCAAGCCGTCCGTGATCTGCTCAAGCTGTGTTTTGTCCGAGGATTGTAACACTCATCACACTGGTACTAAGGGGAATGTATCCAGCCATTTTCACGGCCGGATCCGTGTGCCCGTTGCCCCCCCTTTCTATTCTCTTTTTCACATGAGGGTTGAAACAATCTTTCCTGTTGATGTCAGTGAATATATGAGATGGCTGAATGGCCTTCAGTCTTCAAATGCATCCCCATTTGGTGCATCTCATCTAAAATAATATAAGAACCGCTAACGTCATATCACACGGCCCAGATTGCGGGCCGGTCACCACCCGCGGACGGCCCAGATCGCCGGCCGATGAGAAACTTTTCTCATCGGCCTGCGATCTGGGCCGTCTGCGGGTGGTGACCGGCCCACAATCTGGGCCGTGCGATACCGGTTCGTACTGGAAGTGGCGCACGGCCCGCCCAAACGGCCCTTCCGCTTTTTCTTTCTTCTTTTTTTTTCGTTGTTTTTTCGTTGTTTTTTCGTTGTTTTTTCGATGTTTTTTCGTTCCGCCTGCCCGCCAAATCTGGGCCGTTGTTTTTTCGGCCCGCCCAAACGGCCATGCCGCCTGCCCGCCACTTCTGAACGCGCGCCCCGCGCCCAGCCCTGAAATCGCCCGCCCACTTTTTCATTGGCGGGCTGTATATGTGCCCGCCATTCGAAGGGGCGAGCTTCTCAATCGGACGCTATGCTGCTACGACACGCGACGGCATGCTACGGCACGCGACGGCAAGCGATGGCACGCGACGGCACACGACATGCTCATCGTGCTCTCTCTCTCTCTCTCTCTCTCTCTCTCTCTCTCTCTCTCTCTCTCTCTCTCTCTCTGTGACTGTGCTCTTTGGTGCTCGGTGCTCATCGTGGATACGTGCTTTTCGGCACGAGCTGATCGTGGATCCGTGCTTTTCTTTGGTGCATGATCACGCGCTCATCGTTGATGTGCTTTTGGTGCTCGGTGCTCATCGTGGATACGTGCTCTTCGTGCTCATCGTGGATCCGTGCTTTTCTTTGGTGCATGAT